CAGCAAGAACTTTCAAGCCGCCAACCCTGTCGCCATCAAAATCTACAGGGCGCAGACTACGGGCGCCAATTCCCGGATAACTATCTGCGTTCGACGGGACTTGGCCCAGCCCCGCGCCGCAAGCGAAACTGATGCTGCGGTCCGCGCACGAAAACGGGGATGAGCAATCGCGAGCGCCATGCTGCCGTCGCCTGCCGCGTCTGCGCGCGCGTAGCGGGGCGGGGCTGCCGCGGGCGCAAGTGGAACGGACCGCTTCGGAGCATGAGGCGGGAATCTTTCCCGCCGCCGCAGGGCAATCCCGACCCGCTGCGTCAGCTTGCCTGTGCTCCGGTTTGCCTGCCAATGCAGCGCTGCCACTTGGGCGCGGGCACTCTGCCAAAAACGACGCACGACGCTGCCGCCCCTGCCGAGGGGGCCCGCGAGACGTTCCGCCTCCGCCAGGCTCGGAAAATCGTCGCGGAGGGCGCAAGTGACGCAGGCGAGCCGCTTGGCGACCTTCTTCGCGCTGCTCCCAGAATGGCCGCTCCTGGCGTAGCTTGCGCGCGCTTCTCTGAGCGTAGCTCCCGCCCGAGCAACCCGATCACTCTGTGCGCGCTCGGCCGCCCCCTCTGGGCCCGCGAGGTCGCCGGCGTGCCGGGCGACGGCGCCGGCGGAGAACGAATCGTCCGTAAAGCGAGGATGCGCGATGTCGCGAGCAGCGTTTGGATGAAACTACCCAGCCCGCGCCAACTAAACGCAGAGCTGCGGGCGTCGAAAGGACATCAGAGCAGCTGCGGCGCCCCCCCCTGCTCCGCGGCTGCTTTCCAAGCAACCGCTGCGAACCGTAAAAATTTTCCGTCGAGCGGGGGTGATTGAGAAGCGCCCCTGAAATCTTCCTCGCGAAAATGCGATTGGCAATCGACGCCGCGCCCGCTCGCGATTCGTCGCGCCGCGGCCGCGAGCGCGCCCGGAATGTCAACTGGCGGCGGCTCGCCCACTGCAGCGGCCGAGTCGACGCCCGATGCGGAAAAGTCGTCGATCAGGCGCGCTTCTGGGGCTGAGGTGCTTCTGGCCTCCTCGGCCCGCGCCGCGGCGGCAGGGAAGCGAGCAGTTATAATGGTGTCGGGTGGTTGGAGCGGCGCCCGCCAGGCTGTCCGATCAGCTGCCTCTTTGGCGCAGTTGCGCTCAAACTCAGGAATCGCAGCCGGCGGTTCCACCGTCGGCTGGCGCAGGCGGCCGAGAGCTTCTCGATTGCCGTGCTCGCGAGCATCGCGCAGTTGAGTGCCGCGGAGTGCGATGTGGCATCGGTGGCAAGATTCCGCGCCGAGGCAGATTCCTAAGGAGCAGGGGACCTCGCCGGAGATCACTGGGCAGTGCTGTGGCCGAGCGCCTGGTCTCGCGTGGGCTCGCGCAGGTGCCCTTTTCCACGGCGGCCTCGCTGCCGGCTAGCGACGCTCGCTGGCTCCTCCAACCGCTGCGGCCCCGGGGCCAGTCGTTCGCGCCGCCTGGGGACCAATCGCTCGCGAGCCCGCGGCTCCTCGAGCGCGGTAGCCGCGGCGTGCTCACAAGAGCCGGGCCCCCCTTGGCTGCCTTCCTGGCGCCCTCCGGGTTCGCCCGCTTGCTCGCGCCTGCGGCCGTCTTGTTCGAGCCGCCCTTGCCGCCTGGTTGCTGCGCCCTGGCAGCGCCGGCCAGCCTGCTGGATCGTCTCATGGCGGCCTGGGCCTTCTCGCGAGCATCGCGGGCGATGTCGCGATCCAGCTGCCTGAAGAAGCAACCGATGTCGACTTCGCCCCGTTCCAGAGCGCGCGCCGTCTCGCGGCGCGCGAGCCAGTCGCGGAAGTAAGCAGCGTGGGCCCCGCCGAACTCCTCGGCAACGCGCGCGAGCAGGAACGCGCGCGCCAATGCCTCGGCGACCGTGCGCACCTTCATGGGGCAGGCCTCCAAGGCCCAGCTCGTCGCGTGGCCCTGGAAGGTGGCGTAGCCCACGTAATTGCGAGGATCTCCTCCGAGGGCAAGGCTGCAGGAGGGGGGCCCTGGAGGCCGACCTCGCGGATCTGGTCCGCCAGGTTGAAGGTGGGACCTCTCTTGGCCTGGCTGCTGCCCGTCTGCTTGACGAAGTCGCGCATCACCTCGGCCATGGCGTCGCCGGACGCAGCCGCGGCCCCGGTGGCACTGGCGCCGCCCCCTGCAGGCGCAGCGCCAGGTGAGCCACCTTGCGTCCAGCATTTGCCCTGCGCCCGCAGGGCGTCGACGAGCTGCGCGGGCGCGCTCTTCGCGTTCTTCCAATCGACGGAGTAACACTCCAGATCGAAGGGCAGGTCTTGTGGTTTGACGCGCTGCGCGATCATCTCGTGGGCGAGTCGCTCGGGCGAGTGCTGCCGGCGAGGTTCGCCATCGCCGCCGCCGCGCCCGCGTGGCAGCGAAGGCCGCGCTTCGAATGGGTGGCCTCGTCCAACTCCAAGACAAGGTGCGCCCGGCGCAGGCGTTCCAGAGCCGCTGCCCCAGAGAGGGCCGCCGGAAGCAACCCCGCGAAGTCTGCCGTGATCTCGCCACCCTGGGGCCGAACCTGGGGCGCTGCTGTTGCTTGAAGAGACAGCCCCGCAGGCAAAGATGCGAGAAAGCAGTTGCGGTGCGCGCGGCCGTTCTCGGAGCACCCGGGCCCGAATGGCAGCGCAGCGCGCGCAGAGACGAGCGCCATCGCTGCAGCCTGTTTGCCCAGAACTGACCTGAATCACAAACACATAGAAGGACTTGCTTGCCGCTTCCCGCCCGGCACGCGCGAGGTCATGGGCGCGCGGGGCCGCCCAGCGAAAGCAAAGGCGAACGTTTGCCCAGCGAATGCCGGGGCTTGCCGCTGACTCCCCAGCGAATGTATGGGCTAGACCCGCCAGGCGAAATCAATGGCGAACTCTCGCCCAGCGAATGCAAGGGCACGTGCAGATAGAGACCCCATAACCTGCGAATGCAAGGGCGATGTAGTCCAATCCTGCCTTGCCCGCGCAGCGCCGCGCAGCGGCGGCGCCGGGGCGCCCGTGAAATGGATGTTGGGGCGCCCCTGGCGGCCTTTCCGTCGTGAGTGCCCGCTGAGGAAACGTGGCCGCAGCCGCCAGACAAGGCGCGCGGAGGCGGAGCGCGCTGGATCAATCCCGCCCCCAGGATTAATGCGGGGCCCCCTGCCGGCCAGCGCTGCGAAACGACGGGGGCGCGGCGAGGTGGAGCAGCGGCCGCCGGCGAGAGCCCCCAGCAGACGCGACTGGCGCCAGAGGCGAGGTGCTGTTTTGGGAAAAGCGGAAGAGCCCGCCCGCTCCGCATCGCCCCCCCCCCGCGACCTGACTGCGCCACCCAGGCCGGCGCGCGCCTTCATGTGGGGCGCGGGCTTGCAGGAGCGACTGCGCGCGGGGCGCGGCGCCCCGAGCACCGGCCGCGCGCGCCGCCTCTCCATTAGAGCTTTGCGCTCCGTCGCCCGACGACGCGCCGGCGAGGACTGGCGGCCCCTCCGATGGGGGCCCACCAGCCGTGAACGCCTTGCGGGAGGGGGGGCGCTGTGGGGCCACGGGGCCAGGAAGGGCATCTGGGCGCTCCTTTACTCTTTCACACCTCGCAAAGCGCAAATATGGAGGCGTCGGTGCCGGGCGAACCCTGCCACTGGGACCTTCGGCAGAGCTCCTCGCGGGGCCGCGAAACGCGTGGGGGCGCGCCGGATATGGGCCGGCAGCGCCGTGCGAACCCTGCCGCCGGGGCCTTCGGCGGAGCTCGCAGCCTGGCCGCGAAGCGCGTCGGAGATATGCCGACATGAAGCGGCGGTGCCGTGCGAGCCCAGCCACTGGGGCCTTCGGCGAAGCTTCTCACGGGGCCGCGAAGCGTGCCGGCCAGTGCCGCGGAACGACAGGGGCGCGGCGAGGGGGGGCGGCGGCGGCCGGCGAGAGCCCCTGGCAGACGTGACCGGCGCCAGAGGCGAGGTGTTGCGTCGGGCAAAGCAGAAGACCCCGCCCGCCGCCCCCCCCCCCCGGGACCTGAACGCGCCATCCAGGCCAGCGCGCGTCTTTATAAGGGCGCGGGCTTGCAGGAACGACTGCGCGCGGGATGCGGCGCGCAGGGGGGATCCTTGAGGTCGAGCGAGGCGCCGAAGATGTGCTGCGGAGGGCCGTCGGCAACCAGGCAAGAGCTCCTGCAGGGCTTCGCGGGGGTGGGGGTGGCGGCCAGCGGCGCAAGGGCCGCGCTCCGCCGCGCGCCTGCCGAGCTGTCGACAGCGCGAGGAAGAAGTTGCTGAACCCGCTGATCCTGAATCGGCAGCGCCGCCCGGCCCGCGGCCGGCGGGGCGCGCCGCGCAGGAAGCGAGGCCGTTGACGGAGGGGGCAACCTCTCGAACGCGGTGTTCGCGAGAAAGACTCTGGAGAACCCGCTGGCGCAAGTGCCGCGGCGCCCCGCCGAGGTCGGCCGGCGGCCCAGGCCCCGGGGCCGAGGGCGGCGGCGGGCCCACGTGAGATGCGCGAGAGCACTTGCGGTGCGGAGGCGGCAGCGGCGGAAGACCCCGCGGCGGCCGTCGTCGTGGAGGGAAGGGCGTCGCAGGACGCCCGGCCCGGGCAAGGGGGCTCGCGGGCCCCGGCCACCCGCCAGAGCCGGCAGCGCCTTCTTTGGCCCCCATGGGTGGAGCGATCGGTTGCGCGGCCGTCTTCTTGCCCTGCCGCTGCCGATTCGCCCTCGTGGTCTGCGCCCGCGCGCGGGCCTGGTCACCGACCCGCTTCTCGAACTCTGGCAACGTGCCGTGTGTGTCGTCGATGGCCGCGTCGAGAATGAGGTCGAGGCCCTCGAAGTCGGGCGCGCGGGGGTTCTCGCGGACGGCGGCCCCCAGCTGCTTCGGCCGCGTGATGAGGTGCCCGGCGCCCGACGCGTTGCGCAAGACAAACTGGTCGGCCGAAAGGCTGCGTCATGCGAAGCGCCGCGCAGATCACGTGATGCTCGCGCGCGACGTTGCTCCGTTCGGTAACCCCGCTCCGCCGTGCCCAAGTCGTGCGATGGTCCTCCCACGTGCCCTGGCCTCCGTCGCCAAGCGCCAAGACCGCCTCGCGGGTGGCCCTCTTGCCCTGCAGCGGCCAGCCAGGGATGGCCGCCCCCTTCGCGCGCCTGACCGAGTCGCGAAACTTGATGCAGCGACCGCCGCGTGGACCCCGCTCGTCGCCAACGACTCGAGGGTCGCGGCCAGCGCCGCCGCGAGCGAGGGACAGGTACGAGTTGAACGTCCGACCATCGGCCACACTGACGGCGTGGAGCCAGACATCGTCGACCTTCACCAAGGCCACGCCGCCACGGCGCACAAACACCTCGCCGTTGCCAAGCACCTGCGGGGGCACTTGCTCCAGAAAGTGCGACGAGGTCGGGTCGCTCACGAACCGTGAGCCCCCGAACAACCCAACAACACCAGCGACGTCGAACCCGAAGATGATGGTCAGCGCACGGGCCTCCTCCAAGTAGCCTGCATGTCCTCCGGCGCCACAGCATCAAACGCGTAGATGTTGCCCAGGTGGCGGGCGGGGAAGGGCCCCGCCCGCCGCAACGCGACGACCCTGTGCGTCGAGAGGTCGGTGTGGGCGACCTCGCTGTCGGGCGTGAGCCAGATCCACTTCTGGGCGTCGCCCTTGACCATCAGCACTCTGTGGTGCCACTCGAAGTTCGGGTCGGCCTCGAAGCGGACCAGACACTGACTGCATGTCCACGGCGCGCGCAATGGCCGCACTCAATCACGAGGAATGCCTGGCGCCCGACGGCCGCGGCCCTGGCTCGCGGGGGTGGCGACCGAGCCAGCCCCGTCCACGACAACGCCGTCGCCCTCGAGAGCCAACGCGCGACCCCGCGCCGGCAGGACCGACGGCCAAAGGAGGATCAGCCAGACTGCAGAGGCGACGTTGACGCCCTCGGCCACGCCCACCGCGGCCGCGCCGCAGAGGTCGAGGCCCGTGTAGTGCCCGAGCGGGATCGGGCACGGTGGGCAAGGCTGGCACGTTGTGCCCTGCAGATGCTCGGGCCCGCAACGCGCCAGCTGCTCGCGGAGGATGGCCACCAGACCGTCGGAGGCGTCCTAGCCCTCGAACGCGCCGCGGCAGGTGACCTTCGCGATCGTAGGGCGGCTGCTCCCAGCCCAGCGCTCAGAGAGGGCGCCGATGACCCATCCACAAGCCACCTGTGCCCACCCAGCCATGAACTCTCCACGGCAGAACAAGCTTGAGGGGTAGAAGGCGGCGAAAGAGGGTGAGAGCTAAAACACAAACGTCGCAGAGCGAATGCAATAATGATGATGATGGTGCTGATGCTGATGCTGATGCTGATGCTGATGCTGATGCTGATAATGATAATGAGAATGATAATGATGATGATGATGATGATGATGATGATGATGATGATGATGATGATGATGATGATGACGATGATGACGATGATGATGATGATGATGATGATGATGATGATGATGCTGATGATGATGATGATGATGATGATGATGATTATGATGATGATGATGTTCATGATGAAAGGTGATGAGGAGGAGGGTAAGGAGGAGAGAGGGGGAGTATGGATGGCGAAGGGGACTCCCATCAGGACCCTTGAAAGGGAACTATGTGTATAAGGAGAAGCATGATGCCCAGACATGGTGAGGATAACTGTGGTAAAGATGAATCAGAGGGGGGCGAATATGGATACGATTCAAGATGATGTGTGTGAGATTGGAAGGGGGGTCGTGTATGCATGTGTGTGTGTGCACATGCCTTACCCTGTGCCCTGTGTATTCTGTGTTTGTGCCTGCGCTGTGCATCATGCGGTTCGTTTCTCGGCTGCGCTGCTGCCTGCCTTCGTCCGACTCCTGTCTGGCCCTCGCTCCCCTGCCCCTCGTGGGCCTGGCCCAGGCAGGGCTATGGTCAGGAACTTTTGCTTAGCGTGTCGTGGCGTCGGCCGGCGACACACTATGCCCTGCAAGCGGACAACGTGTCACTCCGCTCCGCGTGGTGGGAGGCTGGGAAGCGCTCGGGATGTCTAACTTTCGGGGGCCGGGTGGTTAGCGTGCCGCGCCGACGCGTGGTGGGCCAGAACTGGCGCGATACGCTAATATCGACACAGAAAACGGCATCAACATAAACTTGTGGAGCTTCGCTTGAATTTTCCTCGATGGGCGCGGGGCCCCCTCCCTGGCGCGTGGAGCACGCCAGGGGCGGCGACGCAGGCGCCGCAAGGGGGCCCAGCGCCGATTCAAGAAATCCACGCGGAGCTCCGAAAGTTTATGTTTATCCCTTTTGGTTGAGCCAAACACTCCGGGTCATATCTGCGTGCGGCTCATCGATCCCATTTTGCCGGGCAAACCGAGGGAACGCGCGTGCGCGGCATGGCGGCGGCGCGACCGTCAGGAGCAAGAAGATGCACTGGTGCCTCGGCGCCGGGGGCCAGGGGCAGAGGGAGTCTGAAGCCACAGGGGGGTGATGCTGCGACGCCAGCGAGCAAGCGAAATTATCACTCGTCAGTGTGCGCTTTATACCGATTTGTGGGACCGAGAGGAGCAGACGAGCCTCTCGCACTCCCTTGCGTCGTCTCGGCAAGAGAACTGCGAAACAGACTGAACGCACCATGTTTTCAGTATTACGGTATGTGCTTTGCTGGCGGCATCTGGCAAAGGGGTCAGAAACCAAGGGGCCAAGGAACACACACCCATCTAACTTATTACACCTCATCTTGCTACAGATGCGAGCCCGTGAGTCGGCATCCATTCAAGTCCTTGCTGTTTGATAGCTTGTGCGATAACTCGAACAACAAGGATGAGGACAAATCGAAGATCGCGGAGGTGTTTTGGGCATTGTGGGCGACCCTGGGAGCCCCTGTGGAGGCCCGCAAAAAGGTACCCCCTTACTCCGATGTTTTATCAATCGTTTCGTACGATGTCATCGTCAAATCAGGCAATGCGAAACGTAGGTTTTCGCAGACGAGCAATTCTTTTTGTAGCCCCTCGCCGAATCTCAATAGCGCACCGAGGGCACTGCGTCGTTCCGTCGCTAAACCAAACGCATCACCAATTCCAGTATTTCACATCCAGGGCATTTTGGGGCGGCACCGTCACCAAATATCAACGAAACGCTAACAGCCCTCCAAATGTAGACCCGCGAAAAAGGGCCTGAACATGTAGATCCGCGCAAATAAAGGGGGCAACAATGATTTTGTTTAATGAGCACGACCGCGGAGCACAAACGCACGATGTCCGTCCAAGGGCATTCAGCATTAGATCCGCTTCCCCTCGTGGGGGCAAAAACCGCATCCATCGAAACCGAGCTTGAACACGAACGCGGCAACGCGCTACACGCTACAGTGGCCAGCCGGGCTAACGTCACCACACTCAGGGAAGAAGAGCAGAGGGAGGAGGAAAAGGAAGAGGAGAAGGGGAACACCGCAACCAACTCAGCGGTGCACTCTGTGACAGAATGTCGAACTCAATGGCAAGATGCGGCATGAAAAGTATTAGGCTGCACCTGAAAGTCGACCGACTCTGGCCTGCATGTGGCAGCCGCCGAACGAGGAGGAAGAAGAGGGGAGCAGGAGGGCAGTGGAGCAGCGCTAAGAAGCTGACTTAACCAATGTCGTCGTCTTCAAAGGGGGCATCGACGACACTGACTCGAAAACGTCGACCCCTGCGAGGTGGCCCCAACCACGACGCCAAGCCAAATGACAATGACATATTAAAAGTAACAGCGGCGAATATATAAATATCTGGAGTAAGCAAAACTACCGCGTCAAGCAAACGACCGATAGAAAGAGAGAGAGAGAGAGAGAGAGAGAGAGAGAGAAAGAGAAAAAAATAGAGAGAGAGAGATAACAAAAAAAAAGGACGAGGAGAAGGAGGAAAGAGACGAGAGGGGGGAGGAGGGAAACCCGAACACGACGGACGCGGAGGACACAGGAAGCAGTGAGAAGAGCTGCTGCCACCTCCGCACCTTCGATTGATACCTCCTTGGGTCGGCAACCCGCGCCGCGAAAACGTCAAGAACCTAGAACACCTTGGCCGCAACAAGGTGGCCGGGTAGCGGCCCGGAAACGCGTCTGCCAAGTACCGCGGGCAACCTAGTTGTCAAGACTCGCCTGAGATAGGGATCCGGCCGCCAGCAAAACATTTGTCCTGCGAGCGTGGCCGATACACGGGGCGGAAATTAGTGCGCCTGTGGAATACGCGAAGCGGAGGAGGAGGGGCAGGGGAGGGAGGGAAACGAGCTAGGCGGAACGAGCTAGGCGGAAACGGTGGAACTGCCGTGCACGCAATCTGTCGGCCCCGCGGCCGGGACAGAGCCGACTGAGCATCCGCACGCCGCATAACCGGATGCGCGCCTGAAAAACGCGGTCGCTGCCGAAATTGACACCCCCCCAGAGGGGCCGCAGGCCCAAGAAGGCAAGGGACCACCCCCCAACGACGACGACGACGACGACGACGACGACGACGACGACGACGACGACGGCGGCGGCGGCGGCGACGACGATGACGACGACGACGACGACGGCACAACGACGGCACGACGACGACGACATCAAAGAAGCGGCCCCTCCCCCCAAAGGCGCGGGGCCCCCGGGGGAGGCGGTGGGCGGACAAAGCGTGCCCGCCCCCACCGGAATTCGGAGTTCAAAATTCCAATGAAAATCTCAACACGCAGCATAGTCGAGAACGAAGGCAGGGGACGGAGGAGCCAAGGGAGGAAAAGAGAAGAGGAATACAATAACATTCTGATTTCGGGGAGGTTTCCGACGCCGTCGGAAACCTCGCCAAGCGCTGTTCTTGAAAGCGCGACCTGCTCTGCTGGCGGCGCCCCGCTCCTGCGAGGGCGCAAGCGCGCGCGGCCGGGAGCGAGAACGAGCGAGCAGGCTGCCCATCGGCTGCGCCGAGCAGGCCTCGCGGAACGCCGCTTTGAAGATGGCCCCGGCGTCCGCTGCTCCGACAGCTCTGTGGCGGACCGCCAAAAGAACGCGGTAGAGCGCGTAACGGCACACAGCCCGAAGAGCGTCGAGCTCTTGGCGCGTGCGTGCCGCCCGGGTTCGCGCAGAGCTCGTGGAAGCGCACAGGCCCCAAAAATTGGGCAGACACTGGGAGGCCGTTGGCCGCGAAAGACTACACTGCTCCTCACTTCGCCAGTGGTAGTAGCTGCAATGGGCGCAGCGCCCGACCTGCTGGAAGCGCCGCGTGGTGACGCGACCGTTGAAGGCTGAGCGCAGGCCCGCGGCCATGACACAGGGCGGCACGAACGCACTCAACGCCTCCATGTGCAACCGAAATCGCTGAGCCCGCGCTCCTGGAGCCGCGACAATGTCTCAATGGTCCAATCTGCGACGCATGAAAGCAGCAGCTGGGGCCCGTGAGCGGCCCGCCAGGAGGGCCTTGTGGCGCGCGGCCTGCCGCGTGGTCTCCATGCGCTGCTGGGTCTCAGGGGGGCCCCTGTGCCAGTTCGAGTTCGCGCGCTTGTTCCTCAGCGGCCTCAAGCACGAAGGGCGTGTTCGACTCCAGCCACCGCTCGATGGGGGCCGCCAGGTACTCGCGAAGAGTGTACTGCATGCGACGCCGAAGTTGCCTCGCCCGTCTCCGCGCTCGCAAGCCACCCTGCGGGGCGTCCTCATAGTGGCAGACCCGCGCCTTCGCGGAGATCGACGCGCATCGGATGTCCATCAGCTCGCAGGGGAAGCCGAAGTCCCTGAGCTGAGTCAGGAATTCTGCACTCGCCCAAGCCCCGGGGCCAGGAAGCAGCTTGGCGCGCGCCTTGGCCTCTGTTGCAGAGAAGGCAGCTGGCAGGCGGCGCAGCTGCGCCACGAACGTGACGACAGGAGCCACGAACACCTGGAAGGCCTCGCAAGCGTGGAACACCCCCGGGCCGAGGGCCCCCCAAAACTGGGCGCGGTCCAGCATCTTGGCGAGCGGCGCCGCCCACGAAGCGTCCCCTGAGACCGGCCCCAGGATGGGTCTCAAATACTTTGCCTGGTCCTTGCTGGACATGGCCCCCCACTTCGTGGCTTCTCGGGCGATGTCAGCCCGCGGGGCCAGCTCGTCGTAGGCGAACAGGGGGGCGAAGACCGTCTTCCGAAAATTCGAGCGCAGGCCAGAAATTCAGCGGAGTCGTCGAACAGGCGGCGGAGCGTCGGCAGCTGGGCGAGAGCGCGCGCGACGAGGGTGACAGAGTAACAGATCAGAGGCGACCGCGAAGAGGAGCGGCGACAGAGGGCACCCCTGCCGCGCGCCCCGCGTGAGGCGAAAGCCCGTGCAGCGCGTGCCCTTGATGGCCACCTCGCACTTGTTGTCTTGGTAGAGAGCCCCCACAAAGCGCAGCAGCAAAATGGGCCAACCAAAGTGCCTGAACAGGCGCATCATGAAGTCGTGCTCGATGGACGGGAACGCGGCCTCAAAATCGAAAAAGAAAGCCGCAGACTCCGAGCCTGCGACGTAGTGCTCCGCGAGCCCCTTGTCTAAGTCGACGAGGTTAGCAAGCGTCGATCGCCCAGGCAAAGAAGCCTCTCTGGGTCCTGGAGATTCTGCGCGCGACCGCGGCCTCAATCACCATCCGGACCGCGTTGGCCATCAGGCGACTGTCGGCGTTGGTAACGTTCAGCGTGCGGACCTTGTCGACCGCGTGGTAGAGCTCGCCCTCGGTCGCGCGCTCTGGGGCGCCCTTCGGGATGAAGAACAGCAGGCTGGCATTGAAGTCCTCGACGGATTCATGGAGCCAGCGAAGGCCCTCTTCGCTGCAAATGTCGCCGAAAGCCTCAAACAACACCTCCACCGCAAGCGACTCCACTCGCCAAGCGAGGAAAGGGATGCCATCGGGGCCGGGCGAAGAAGACCGATAACTCCACATCGCATAACGTATGTGCTCCTTCTTGAGGCGGAACTGGTTGGCTGGAAAAGGGCACCGCTGTTCTGCAGGTCGGTGGGCGGCATTTTGCGCGAACCACTCCTCCATTTTTGCCTCGTCGAAGCCGCGACGCTGGAATACCTGCCTCCAGTGTTGTTGTAGAGCCTCTGCCACATCTCCAGGCGCGGTCCGCTGCTCGCCAGCCCTGTCCATGAAGGAATCTACGGCCTCGAAACGACCTGGCCGGAGTCGGAAGATCAGCCGAATGTTCCGGGCCCTCGCCCGAGCTGCCTGGAGCTCGTTGGACCCCCTGAGGTCGGCATGAGAATTGCCCAGCTCGTCCAGGGCGTGGTCCCTTGCAAGCTCCACGGCGTGGGCGCGCACCTGCTGGAGCTTGGCCGTCGCGTTGCCTACAAAGTCGTAAGGGTTGGTGACGAGGTCGCGAATGCGGGGGCATCGGTGCAAGCAGTTCGAGACCTCCCCAGCAAACCCACGCCCGAAGGCACGGATGAAACGAAGAGTGGCCCTTAATCGGTCCTCCAAAGACTCCGCAGCGGGGCA